TCGAGGTGAGTAAAACATGAATCAGACACCTACCTAAAATCGATTTTGATTAGGATCTCTCACCTTGGCTTGTCTTAACCAATCAACCTCAAAAATTATTGCTCCTCTAGGAAATCGACATGCGTGGGCTGCACACGTGTCACAGGTAGGTTCAGTTTGTGACCACGCGTACTACATATACGCAGCATTCAAAAATGTGTTTTCATAAGACGGTCCAGTGTTGTGCAACTTATAACATCATTCATCACAGGTCAATCAATACCTAATGGTCAACTCAGATTTGGTAGGAGGGGGCCCGCAAGAAGCCATTCCACTGGACCATATGTGTCAGCCTCTGGGTAACTAACCTGAGTATTTGATAGTAAAAAGGTTGTTACTATGAGTTGACTGAAGTTTTGAGCATGGTGAGTGTTAGGTAGTGGGTGATTAATACCAGTCCTGTAAAGAGGAGGTTTCACTCTATCAGTATGGTCTTTACTGAGAGGCTTGCTATCAACAGCGCATCCGGATCAATACAAGGTATTAATAAGCATCCAGGGTACTAAGACTCACCTGGGATTGATTTGGTTATTCCCAAAAGGGAATCGGCTAACAATACTTATTAAGCTTTAACAAAATTAGTTGAAGATTAACAGGTATTGTTGATGGGAATATTCAGCAAGGCTATGAATACTGTGGATAAGTTGAGTAAGAGTACTGAAGCTTAAGAACAATAAATGTAGACAAGATTTATGTTGGTTACGTGTACTGTATCAATATAAATGTTAACTGGTTTAACTTGTGTCTGAATATTCTGGGGATTAATCAGTGAAAGAGGCACGGATTATAAGTTCCAGAATATTGAAGGGGGGAAAGAATGAGCGCTCAGAATCAAGGGAGCTTTGGCCAGGAGAATGAGCACATCAATTGAGTGACTGATCATTATTTGTCATGATCTGTAAGTGACATCATAATTGTGTACTAGTTGATCAATGTACTAGTAGCTCTTTGATGTGTGTACTTAACAGATCCTCTAATAATGTAGTCATAATTGTGATCAGTGCATGTATTGAATGTATTAATTCTATTGGCACTTAATACTTACTATTTAATACATGTACATATTTATTTGTAATATTATTTGACCGTGAAAATACTGTAGCAGAGGGATAACTTGTGGTACAGGTATTTCACGGACAAGGGGGTGAAAGGTAAGTGATAATTACTTATGTAGAACACAGGTATGTATTTAATAGATAAGTAATTAACAGATAAGATAAATGTAAGATAAATAAGATAAGTTAATAATAATGATAAGATAACAAGAGGTAAAGGTAATCAACATTATGGATAAGTACTTATGTACATAAGTACAGGTGTTGCAGTTACTTGGTACATGAAAGGTACTGTGACATGTACTCTGTGGCTGACATACTCAGTGTCATTGGTGTCATCAGTAAGTTACTTCTTTTAAGTCTAGCTAGCATCTTTCTGCTTGTTTCTTTCTCTGTCTCTCTCAACCCCTTTCACTTTCATCTCTAAGCAAAGCCCTGATCATCAAAGCAACTTTAGTTCAAGACT